CTCCCGGCGCCGACACCTGCGGCACGGCATCGGGCCAGGGCACTCCCAGGTATATGGCCGGGGCCGCCCGGAGGGGTCAGCTCTCGCCTGCCCACCCCCATCCCACGATCTTTAATTTGGGGTGCAGAAACAGGAGCTGTTCCCCGGGGGGCTCCGGCTCGCAGCTGGACTTGGCCTGTTTGGGTTGGTGGATGCTCGCCTGGCTGCGGGTCCCCGCGTCCCTGCACAGCCTCACCCCGGGGGGATTTTTAAGGGTTCCAGGGTGCTGGGGACAGAAGGACGTGTTCCCCTGTCTGCAGCAAGGACATGAAACGCTGCCAAGGGCCCCCTCGGCTGGGGCCACCACCCCCAGCTCCTCGGCTGCCGCAGCACTCCGATGCCCTGCTCCAGCACCCCGGTTTCTAGCTGCACAGAGGGAGACGGTCCCCACACTGGGCCTGATCCTGCAAGCCCCTACCTGGCCCCAGCCTGCCCCAATGCCTAGCCGTGTACCCCGCCCTGTGCTGCTCCATGGCAGGGGACAGGGGACAGCAGCCACCCCCAGGGTACCAGCACGGCTCTCAGCCCTGGAGGAGCTGCAGCCGCCCGTCCATCCAGGCAGGGTGCTCCAGGAGCAGGGCCCGGGGGTACCGGCATGCACGAGGTGATGCTGTGGGGGCCCCAGGAGGGTACCGGCACCCATGGGGCGATGCTGCGGGGGCCCCAGCCCAGAATAGCAGGCGGGGGGTGGGAGGCAAGAGGAAGCAGCAGCCGCAGCGCTGTCAGGCCGGGGGAGCCAGGGACCCGCCGCGGCCGGACTCGTGGCACGCTCACCGCGGGCTGGGCTGGGCACGGGGTGGCTCGTCCCCTCACCGGGAAAACCATCTGAGGCCTCGTGCAACACGCGGGGTGGTTTCATCAGCCGCCTCCCCGCGCAGCTCATTACGGCTCCACTCCTCCTGGGGCATCGCCCCGGCCGCTTGGCCACCGCAGCCATGTGGGACCCGCGGGGACACGCGCAGCCCCGGCCGGGCCACCGCTGCCACCAGCACCGCGTCACATGCCAGGGTCTTGCAGGACGGGCGCAGGGTTTGGCCCGTCCGCGGGGCAGGGGAAGGATGCTCTCCGGGAGCGGGGTACAAGGCGTTTAGGCTCTCTGCCTCCACGGGGTTCGGTGCCTCGGCCACCGCAGTGCGGCAGGGCACGGGCGCTCGGTTCCCCCCGGGTAGGTATTAAGGGCTGGGAGGGGAGGGGGGACTTTCACTCCAGATTTTAATTGCCGCGCCGGGTGATAAGGCGATAAGCAGCATTACGGCTGCAGGCGATTATCGCAGCCGGCGATGACGGGCACAATGGGGCGGCTCTGCCCGGCATTGCCACCTCCATCCTGCGGTCCAGCGAGCTGGCATCCTCCAGCCTTGTCCCCATGGCCAGGGACAGCATCGAGGGAGCAGCCTGGCTCCCGTAAGGAGCTGGCATCCAGTGAGGGCTCATGGCCGGGGACCCCCGAGCAGGAGGGAGCGGGGTTGGGGTGCAGGCCCCGGAGAAACCCCGCAGCCTCTCATCGCGTTAGTCTTCACCGGGTCCCACCTCGCACAAGCGGCTCCTCGTTAGCGTTGCCGTGATGGGGACTTAGGACGCGGCCCAGCTGGAGGGATGAAGCACCTTTCAGCATTGTCATTACGAACGAGGCCAACAAAACCCAGCGCAAGCAAAGCCCTCGAGCCCTCAAAACTTTTCAGAGAGGAGACGCTTTCCCCTGCCTGCGCTGGGCAGAGGCTCCCGCGCTGCCTGGCATCCTGCCGGCCTCCGCTCCCTCCCACGCGTGCTTATCTTTAGCCCGGGCTCTCTGCTCACTTGCACGCACCGGGCTCGCTTCCACACCCAGGCACAGCCCCTCGTCCCCGCTGTCCCTTCGCCAGCACCCGCAGCGAGGTGTCACCCCAACCTCTGGGCTGCAACGAGGTTTATAATTAACTCCCCGGATCCTCTACATCTTTAGGGGTCATTTGCATCACGCCGGAGCATGTAAACTTCCTATCCCAGCTCCTAATTAGCACACTGAGACGAAGCGAACCCCTTGAGAGCAACATGTTTTTCCGTGTGCCGCAGCCCCGGCACGGTGTGGGATGCTCGGCTTGGTACGGGGGGGTCCCAGCACTGCCTTTGACACCTTTACATCCTTCTCCATCCCTGAATGATTCCAGAAATGTTAAATCCACGAAGTTTATCCTAAAGTCAAAGCGGGTGGGTTATTAGGGGAGCGCCCGGACCCCAGAGTGGCAGAAGCAGGTCAGGTCAGGGTCTCTGAGCTCCCCACCTCTCCCATCCCCATGGGACAAAGTGGCATCGACGTAGAAACTGGGGAAAAAAGGCCGTTTTCGCCAAATTATGGGGATTTTGTTGCAAATCTGAAAGCTGAGGGTGGCTGGGTAGAAATAGGGGGGGGAAGAGTGCGGCCAGCAAGTACCCGCTGGCGGCATTCGGCAGCTTCCAAAAAGTGTTTTGTTGGAAAAAAATATTGATTAAAGTGGGAGAAAGAGTCTCCATCCCATCTTTTACAGGGAGAAGAAGCGAGCTCGGCCGGGAGGGGAAAATCTGAGCCAGGAGCAGCGAAATCCTGGGGAGGGGCAGGCCAGATGCTGCCTCGCCGGGGCTGGGAGGGCAACGGGCTTGAAACGGGGCTTTAAGGACCACCCGTCATGGATGGACACATGGCACTGGGACCACCATGGGCCGCATCCATCCCTGGCCGGTGCTGCCCTGCTCCCAGCTGGAGACGTGGCCCCGGCTCTCACCGGTCCCCGGGGAACGGCAGCGCTGGGGCCTTGCGGTGCGAGCAGCATCCTGAGCCCGGCGCAGGGAAAAGTCAAAGTTTACCAGGGTTTCTGCCGGGGGTTGACAGGCCCTTCTGCTTTTTATAGGTTGTTTAAACAACTAACCAGTATAAACCAGAGTGGGGCCAGCAGCGCGGGAAGGGGAGCGGGGAAGGCAGGAGGAGCCTGCTGGGAAGCAGGGGAAAGGAGAGTCCGGAGGGGACCGGGTGCTGTGGGAGCTTGGGGACCACCAGGGCACCAAGGGCACATCAGGGCGCTGAGGACGAGGGGTTTGCCTCCACTAACCACCTTCCCCCATCTCACAAGCATCACCCCAGCACCCAGTAAAGTCCCTGGGGGCAATTATAATTCATCTCTCTACCCCCATCGCAGCACGGGGCCCGGCCACACCATTGCCCTACGCCTCTCCAGAGCCAAATCCAGGCTTCGGCTGAGCTCAGGGGGACCCGGCCCCCATCCAGCCCCAGCCCCATGCCGGCTCCGGCCCTGCTCAGGGTGACACAGACCGAAAGTCCTACCAGCACTGCCGCAGCCCGGTGCCGTCGGGCGAAGCGCAGCGATGGGCGGAGGCTTTTCGGTTCCGAAATGACTGTGTGGAAGGAGGAAGGATTGAAACGTCCCCAAAAAAAAGAGGCAGCTCTTGCCCTTGGAAAGACAGACAGACACACGGACCCCCTCCGGGGCCTAGACCACCTTTTTTGCCTGGTGTCGGCAACACTGCTGGCAGCAGGCAAGGGAAGAAACACGCTGTCCCCACGGGGCTGGGCCGCCCCAAGCTGCAGCTGGGCATTAATACGGGAAATGATGCTCGTTGCTGCTTGAGGGTTTGCCCGGGGCAGCCAGAAGTTGCTGATGGCTGGCCTGAGCTCAGGCCCGTGGCGTTAGGGCTGTGTGGCTTACAAACCTGGTTTGCTCCTGACAATCCTGCTGTAATTCTTGTGAAGAGGAAGGAAATCCAAGGGTCTTAAATACACTAATTCCCCCCGCTCCTTCTGGGCACCCCCACGGCAGCGTGGCATGCCAGACTCTCCAGCCCCCTCACTGCTGGGATGCTTCTCCCGGGTGTCAGCAGGAATCCCCGTCCCCTTGCACCACGCAAAGTTTCCCGAACCCGTTTTCCTTCCCTGCTGCTGCGCCAGCCGGCTCTCAGCACCGGGGTATCATCAGCGCCCCAGCCTCGGAGCCGAGCGGGAACGTTTGACATCCTAAACCAAACCCGGGGCCTGCATCTACATCCCAAATCCCTCCGCCCCGCCGAGCCACACAGGTCTCCCCTACACGTCACCCGCATGTGACGTGTCCAGCTGGCAGCCAGCGACATGGAAAAGGGCCAAGGTCCAGCTCCCCAGCCGGGTCGCCCACGCTCCCTTCCCAACCGGTACCCGATGCCCCAAGGGATGTGCGTGGACCGAGGGGGCACAGCCCATCGCCTCCCCGGCGCAGGTCCCCGCCTTCCAGCTCACCCGCCAGCTGCCACGTTAATTCATTACCTGCGAAACCCCATCTCCAGAGCCAGCAGCTCTGGGAAACTTTCTCTCATTAAAAGAGTAAAGCCCCGGGGACGGGGACTCGCTGGCAATCGGCTGCAGCGGGCAGGAGGATCCGGCAGAGGATCCACCTCGCTCTCCCCACGGGGTGATGGAGGGAGAGTCACGTGTGCTGGGACATGCTGGAGATGCCACGCGCTGGCAAGAGCCATGGATGGGTCACGTCCCCACCCAGGAGCGGTGAGGAACCGGGCTGCATTTCGGCGTGTGCCATGAACTGCCAGACCGGTGCGACACCCCAGCGAAGCTATGGTGGCATCAGGCCCTGGCCCTGCATCGGGGTGGCCCGGCACTGCGTCACCGGCAGCGTTACAACTTACTCCACGTTGAGCCAACAGCCCCGCGGTGCCGTGCCTCAGTTTCCCCCCTGTGCAGTGGGCTCAGCCCCGGCGCC